GATGAGGATCAGCACTCTAAATTGGAGGCATTGTTCTCAGCAGGAAACTGGGTGGATTGTTCTTACTCCAGGTAGGGGTGAGTCCTTCCCAGGGGAAGGTTCAAGTACTCGGGGATTTGTTCACGAGTTAGGTGAATGGAGCAGGACGGATTGCCGGAGAATGTTGGCACAGCCGGGGCAGTTTTTGCCGAATCGCATTTATCGCAACTTATTGTCACGAAAAAGAGGTGAGCTTGAAAGGTGAAGCTCTCGCCTTCGGTTCGATCTTCCGCTACCCTCCTTTCATGGTCATGGAAATGGGTCTTGACGGAAGGAACAAGGATCGGCGCAGGTACAGCGGTCCGGGAATTGGGGTTTCCTCAGGAGGGTTGGCGGCGTCTTGCTTTAGGGATTAGGCGTTGAGAAGCTCGGACATCCGCGAGGACTCAGGGTTGAGCCATTCTTAGATGCTTAGAGCTTAGATTGGCTGTCGGGCAATCTGGTGGAGGATGCGTCTCAGGGCGCTCCGGAGGGGGGAGGTGGTTACTGGCAGTCAGCTGGGGGGAGGCCACGGGACAAGACTAGGTGGGAGAGATTATATTTGAAGACACTGGCCTGGGAACGCCTCGGGATACCCCAGTCGGAGTTGGCCAATGTGGCCAGGGAAAGGAAAGTTTGGGGTCCTCTGCTGGACTTCCCCGCGACCCGATCCCAGATAAGTGGATGAAGATGAGATGAGATGAGATGAGACCGTTTTATATGGGCTATTATTTAAGTCACATGATGACAGTTTACACTCTCACCCTGCCCTAATCCTGTTTCATAAAGCAGCTTTTATGTTGGCACATTACCTGCGGAAGCCCTGAGCACAAGTGAGAAAACAAAAATTGTGTAGGTCCCCCTTTTTCCACCAAAACAGCCCTGACCCATCGAGGCATCTCGATCACGTTCTGATCTGACTTAAAATAGGCGAAATTTTGATTTATTTTTACTAAATTACTTAAATTAAGTTTCCACTTAATCTGTGAAAACAGATGGAAGAAACGTTTTGGCAGGTGATGTTTTGTTTTGTAAGGATAATTTTTTGTTTGTTGTTGTAATACTCATTTTGCCCACAAGAGGCTGAAGTGCACCAACCCCATTTTCCTTGAAACAACTTCCAAGTAAATGGCATTGAAGTCTTCTGCAATTCTGCCTTTTCTTTGTACCCAGTGCTTGACATTTATGAGGATCTACTGTCAGAAATGGAAGATAATATTTAGAGGTATGCTTCATTAGTGTATAATTACCTGAATGTACTGGAATCGCCTTCCATGGAGTACGCCAGGTTTCTACAGTGGTCCAGAACGGACAAACCAAACACAGTCTGTAGATAGGGGCAGTCTTGTTTTTTGAGCATGTAGCGGCCACCATAGTTTCTCCTTTGCGTTTGGAAGGGGATGGTATAGCAAGTGAATTGAGATCTGCAACTACACTGTTAGATGCTACTGAATCCTACACACTGGTCCTTTAACTAATAGATAATGATGGGCATTTATTGTATATAATCACCAACTAGCATCAGTAATTAAGGCATTAAAACAACACAAAATGACTTAACAGTTGTGCATGACATTTTTGCTTTTTGGTCCAATAATGAAACTTTACATTTAAACTCAGTTGCAGTTAAATGTGCAGTGTGCAACATTTAGGAGGACCTATTGGCAGAACTGGAAATATTTGTTTTCATTAGTGTATGCAAATACCCTAAAAATATCAATTGAATGAGCTGTTTTTATCTATAAATGCCATCGGTCGCCTCAGTGGCAGCTCCCATGTTGAGCCTCCTCGATCTCTAGACAGGGCCGTTGATGCTTTTCGTGACATTCACAGCCACCGTAGTTACGCTGTCGCGTTTGGAAAGGCAGGGTGAAGCCAGTGAGTTCTGAAACTCTAGATGCCACTGAATTCTGCACACTAAAAACAAAAACAGCATCTAACATAATGAGAGACAGAAAGACTGAGATTGAAACAGATGTTTTCTTTAAAATCAGAACTTTATTATCATCATCATCTACCACATATGTGACTGACAGGGGATGTCACCTTATTTTAACCACCTCATATGCCCCAACTACTGGTGATTCAGCAGGGGTCAGTAGGTTTTCTCAGTGTGTTCAGGACACACTGTCCAGTTCCCCAAGCAGCTGTAGTGTCTCCATCTGACCTAATTACGAATATCAACATTTCCAGTTTCAGTTTTGATCAAACTATGGCTGTTTTACAGAGGTCAAAGGATAAACTGTTAACAAAAAGAAACCTCTAAAACAACAATTATTGGCTGTTGAATAGTATGTGTACTACTCACAAAAGGCTGTAAAGTCTGGTGCTGTTTGGCATACTGCACCAGAGTCTGCATGGAGCCAGTGGAGTTGCTGTGAGCCAAATAATGCAAAAAAAAGTATTAGCTCACATTATTAGGATCTGAACTCTCCACAGTACACAGCTGCCACAAGAAAACTCCTCAAAATCAAAGTTGTGAGACTAACCCTTAAAAAAAAGAAAGTTATTTGTTCTCATTTATCCATCATGAATTTGTCCTACGGTAGTCATGTGAAGTCAAAAACATGATGAATACAGAGTAATACAAGTAAAGTTTTTTAAGGGCTAGAGCACGTCAACAGCAAGTAGAGTAAGCAAAGTAAGGAATCGTGGCAACTGTGTACAGTTCAAACCTTAAAGTTAAACTGAAATTAAAATAAATTTTTGCTAAGAAAGACTTACTGTGTTGATGTGTTTACCAAAATAGTAATTACCACATTTCATTTATCTGTCTGCAGACACAGAACCACTGGTATTGCCCAGGAGGTGTGACTGTTTGGTTTCTGATGATGCCGTTGCTGTAATTTGATGGGTGTACGCCATATTCAGAGTTATATCACCACATCACTTCAGTTTCAACTGCCACACAGGCATTTGCCAAGTGCAATCTTTGATTGAACAATCCCTACTCAAAGTGTGTTGTGATTCAAATTACAGTGTTGAGTGCTGCTGAGGATACAGAACAAACACAGAACACTGTAATTGTTTTCCAGGACCTTTCCAGAACATTTTCTAGGGTTTTTTTCTGAACAACACAAGACAGAACTTGCTCACAAAGGGCGGTCAGCCATAGGTGGTCACCTTTTAAGGCATACACAGCATTAGGTCGCGTTCATGGTGTGCTTGGCTGTTCCCATCACAGCTTTCTGAACGGTAACATTAATTTGACCACAGCACAGGCAAGTAAAATCTAAATTTTCAAGGACAACATAGATTTTCAGGATAATTTGGTTAGTTTAAAACATTTTCAGGTGTTTCCATGCCTGGACTTCCAGGTTTTCCAGGATGAGTGGGAACCCTGAAATTTTGAATTCTGGTCATTCATTACCACAGCTGGAGGAGAGACAACTAATCCCAGCTACACACAGCACTGGGTGTGCCGGAGTTTGACAGTGACTCAGCAGGTGGTGAAATAACATCAACTTAAGTAAGTTCTTGTGGGAATCGGAATTCGGTCGAATTTTTCTTGAAAACAATCAAACAAGGAGTACAAAGATTACTGCTTTTGTCCACAGGGGCCACCAGAATCAAAAATTAAATGAAAGTTCTTTGTAGGGGCTTTAATATTAGCTTACACAAAAATTTAGGAAAGTTCAAACTTTAAAAATGTGGGCTAAGAATTATGTAGTTAAGCGGTTTCTGTGCTCTTGTGATCACAGAGCAGGGTGTCAGTCAGCAAAGCTCCATGCAGACACAAAGTTCAGAGACTGGGGCTGCTGCTTACACGTAAAGGAGAAGAAATCACAACACCGCTTTCAAAAGTGGAACAGACAGAAGTCCATTCAAAGCAAATTATGCTTAGTGATAAAAAAATATTGTCGCACTGTGTCTGTAATGAACTCCTGAAAGCAGAAATTCAAAGTGTTCAAAGTCACAGCAAACACGAGGAGAGAGGAGTTATCAGCTCCAGGGTTGACGTGGAATGTCCCAAGGAGAAACTTGCGGTTCAAAGAGGTATCAAGGGTGCTGATGACTTCTTATGTGATGTCCTTCTGTCTGGGAGGCCTGTGGATGTTTCGGACCACGCACTTCACCATCCACTCAATGCCCTCGTTCACTCCATCTCTGTGTCAAAGCAGAGAAGCCAGTCATTCAATAGCATTTTAAAATGGCAGAAGAAACCTCCTGAATGATGAACACTGAAAGAATCCTAACTAGGAGAAGCTGACTACAGTGACAGCAACAACCCCCATTTTCTAAATAACATAAAACTTTGGTACTCAACATTTCTGAGTTCACGTTGCTGGCAAATAGACTAGAACTGTGGTACTGGATAATATGTGACAGGCTGCTGTTGTTGTACACACTCAGTAGCAGTCTTACCCCGTGAGGGCAGTGCAGGGCTGGACTAAACAATCTCTCTTGCCAATCTTCGGGGCAGAGTCACTGAAGGCTGTTTTAATGTCTGGCACTGACAAACAGTTCTGAAAAGAGAGCAGACACAAGACAGCAAAGACAATACAGTCAAAGACCACAAGACCACACCAGTTATCATCTCCAGTATAGTTTGTCTTATTAGGGGGGGCTCAGGCCTATGGAGGGTTTTAGGGCTAAAACTAAATACCTGAGTCTTAGTTGAGTTAAAAAGATCATACAGTACCGGTACATCCTGCTTGTTGGCCAGCACGAGGAGAGGGACACCTTCTAACGCCTCGCTGCTGATCATATTCTCTGGAGGAGACGAGAGTTCAATAATTGACTCAACAACTATCACCACAGAATATTCACTCAAATATCTTCTCATAAAGACTTTTTGTTATGTTACTGACACTTTTCTCAAAACAGACAACCAAGCCTTTCATGTTATCATGTGAGAAAGTTGACTTGAATACACTGTATAAGTAATCAGCACTTTTTTTCAATGTCAAAGCATGCATAAACCATAATATCATTATTTTAGTGTAATAAAGTCACAGGCCATTTCAGAAACAATTTAAAGCATATGTCCAGTGTGTAACATTTAGGAGGATCTATTGTCAGAAATGGAATATAGGTATAGGTAATCCATCCTATTGGTGTATAATCACCTTAATATAGGAATCCTGTTTTCGTTACCTTAGAATGAGCAGTTTTAATCTACAGATGCCACGGGTCACCTTCCACGGAGTCTTCCATGCTAAATCATTCTACAGTAGCCCAGAATGGAAAACCAAACACTGGCTGTAAATAGGGCCATGTGTTTTTTGCGAATTTTGCAGCCACTGTAGTTTCTCCTACATTCTTAGGTTATTAAATACAAACACAAGTGGTGTTCAGTTAGTTGAAATCTGCAACTTCACTGCTAGATGCCACGAAATCCTACACACTGGACCTGAAACAGCAAAACAGTACTACAAATTCTTGGTTGTAACCCCTTATTTAAAGTGGGTGCTGAAGACTCTTCTTATTGAGACAAGTTTTACATATCATAGGAGCAGTGTTATTGTGATAGATTTGTCCTCCACTTTGGAATGAGTGTGAGGTCTGGAAACATGTCATCGCAAGACAGGAAACGTCTCGAAAAAATGGTACGCAGGGCCACAGTTTTTTGCATGAGTTGGGGTTCTTATTCTGTGAGCCACCAAATCCTATCCTTTAAGGGTTGTTTTAAACACAGGTACATACACATTACAGAGTGGAGGGTTGCAGTGTGGCACTCACCAAAGGCCTCCTTTGATTCCGACAGACGCTCTTCATCAGTTGAATCTATCACATAGATGACTCCGTGGGACTCGGCGTAGTACTAAATATAAACATGAAGAATACAGACAGGACTTCAGAGCAGGCTCCCGGGCTGAAACAACCAACAGCATCACAGCTGACTGACTGCACTTGACAAAACGACAATGATACCTTCAGACAGCTTTTGGTACAACAGCTGAAGAAAAGCATGAAGTGTTAGGGCCATAATATACCATAATATAAGACAATAGATTAAAACATCAGAATATTTTAAGTTGACAATATAGACATGATCTTATAAGAATTAAGTCATAATATTGCAAGAACACCACAAGTTCTCAACTGTCACCACACTCTGTCTGACAGACACCTGAGTCCATTTGGATCCATCTCCCTCAGTCATGGTTGCTAGTAGTAGGGCACTAAATGCTCAGAGTGAAATATGCTTTCATTTTATCAAATGTGCGTGTTATGAGCATGACGTTCATCACATCGGGGCCCCCCTTACTTTTGTTCAAACCATGAACACATAAAAGATGGATGTTCTGTATACACTTCCTCCCACTGCAGAAAAATGAAGCCATAATATTCCAGATCAACTGCTGCCATGTTTCAGCATTCTGAGCTAGAGTCTACGCAGTAGCGAACGGTGTTGGTGCCGCGGTAACAAAGTCTCGCCCATACAGCTGGCCAACTCTATTTGACATGTACTTGCAGCTGGCTTTATGACCTATACTACAGTCAGCCACCAGAGGGCAATGGAGATGTTTTGGCTTCACTTTTGGAGAGCTATCATGTCCTCCATCTTTATACATGCCAATTGTTCAAAGAATATTTTTCTTTTCGTCTGGTGCCCTAAGCCAAACTCCACAAATCTGCTGTTTATATATTCTGTGGCCCTTTGCTGTGTGTCATCCCCTCCCTCTCACTCCTCCCTTTCCTGTCAATCTTCAGCAATAAAGGCAAAAAATAAATATATAAAAAATAAAAAATGCTTTTTCCTTTTTGTGTAATCCTCATGTAGCCTATGTAAAAACTATTTTTATCCAGTAAAAATTTGTCAGGCTAGTGAAGACAGCAGGTTTGGATGGCTGCTGTCCTTTGAGCTCCTCAGGAGCTGCTACTGACAGGCAAGTTCTGAGGACAGAGACGGCCTAACAGAAGTCTAAGTCAATGAAATGGACTGAACAGACAGAGCACTTCAGTAGTGCTTTCACACTACTAACATATCGCTTTTAATGTGCATTGAACATTCCTCTGATGCCATGAATTTGCTCTCTTTGGCTCAGCTGTCTGGAGGAGTCCCCACTGGGCTCCGGTCACTGCTTCAAATCACACCCAGTTATGAAATTCTGGTCTGGATTTGGGCAGTTGTATGGGAAAACAGAAACAGGATATTTAAAAAAACATTTATATGTGTAAAGTAATTTTGTCTCAGAAATAGGATCATCTACCGCTCTGCTGAACACACAGAGTGTGTCAGTGTGAGGCTGGTGAAGAATTCCCCTCAGGATATTTAAATTTTTAACTCACTTTGTCCCACAGAGACTGGAGCTCCTCCTGACCCCCCAGATCCCAGAACATTAGACGAGCCTTGCCCACATCGATTGTACCGACTGTGAAGGAAAGTGAGAAATCAATCAGAAATGTTATAAAGAGACGAGAGGAACAAGACCCTACTATCATAAGACCACAGAGTGTAGGAGTGAAATGGAATGAGATGGCTTCAGAAAGCAGCTTTGCAATTTTGTTCCCTAGTAATGATTTGTGTAGAAAATTACAATTAATTATTGTAGTTAGCAACTGGAAATAACCCAATTAAACTGACTTTGGCCACAAGTAACAACACATTTTGATATACAAGTACACTCCAGAGCCTGCACAGGGTATTTCATTTTGAAAATTGACTGGATTCTCTATGCCGTTTCGGTGCCTGACTTCCTGTTCATGCTATCTGCTCTGTGCTGCTTGATGCGGGTTCTGTCAAAAGTAGACTAGCTGTGTATTGTCCACAGAGATGAGCGGAGAGACGCTTCTGGTGGAATGATGAGCATTGTCTAGAACGGGTGCAGCCGCTACACGTTCAGGCTCTGACACGGTTGCTATGGCTGATCGTGGATTTTGGCTGTCAGTGTTGTGAATATAAACTGAGGGACTGTTCTGCTCTGGTTGTATGCATACAGTTGGGGGCAATCTTCCTAGAATTAAATAGAAAATAGCACCTTAGTTACAGAATCCCAAAATATTGAATCATAACCCATGCACTGTGATTTGTATTGCCAGATTCTTGCCAATACACAGCCCATTACTGTTCATGACAAGCACAAGTGAAGACACACTGGAGCATCCACTCACTGTTCAGGCCAACTGTGGTTGTGATCTTTGATAAATTCATTCCCTTATAGTTCTTACTGAACTTTGTTTTGGTTTGTTCCAGAAAGGTCTGAAAAGAGAGACAACAGCAAAATTAACAGACAAGTCAAGCTAGACACATTTATACTCATTGAGTCACATGACAGGGTATATATACACACATACAGGTGACACTTCATGACTGCACGTTTGTTAGTTTGCCTTTGCAGTCAAAGGCGCTAAAAATAATAAGAAACATAGCAAATACAATAGGGACCTCCAGCGGTCGCTGGCTCGGTCTCTAACTTTAATTTAAGTTAAGTTTGGTTTGCACTCTGACACTGTGGTCAAGTGAGCAGTTGTTCGCAAAAAACCCAGTTAAACCCAGTGGATTTCTTGTGCGTCTACTAATGCAGTTACTGGTGCTGCGAGTGGCCAAAAAGGACGTATGACGACTCTCACTCAAGACTTGTTATACAAGGAAAATATTAAATGAATAGTAGGCTACATGTCATTTGATGAAATTAGAGAAAGGTCTTTATGTGTGCAAATGGTGTCTGTAGGCTTCCTAAAATGTACAGTGAGTAGCCCGTTGGATTAGTTTTCAATATGTAAATATAAATTCACCTCCACTGTAAATATATTTTGTAATTCATGGGAAATTCCCTCATTTTTTTTACTCTGATAAAACAGTTTCCGTAATTGGTTTGTTGAGAATCCCAATGGATTTCTGCCCATAAGATATGATCCAGTTTCCCCAAAATCACTGATACAGTTGTGCAACAAGTGACAACAAATATATCCACAAATAGGATAAAAATGGTCAACTGTGGGACCCAGATGGTCAATATGTGTACGTCTATGTTCACACTTCATCACAGGTTAGTTAAGGATGTTACTGACTAAATGACGCAAGTTGACTGGGTCTGTAGATTGAAGAGAATCCAAAAAGAGTCTGCATGATGGTGTAAAAGTTTTTACTGTGAAAACATATGGCCCTACCATAAAACACCCGCTTTTAAAAGGGAGTTTGGTTTGATAGTGTGGAGCAGAGGGTATTTTAACCTTAATAATTCACATAAACTGAGTTGACCTTCCTTCTAATAGTAAATCTTGTAAACAGCATAAAGTAACGTAGGAAGTGGAGATAAAATCTACATGTTTTTTTTCTTCTGTGGGCTCGTAATAAATGAATAAACACCAACAGTGGTTCCACTTCGCCACAATGATGGAATTAGTTTACAATAACGTCACATTGGACAGACGCCCTGTCTTAAGGACAGAAACAGTGTCAGATGTCAGAAATATGAGATTCAATAAGGTAGTTGTATGTCAGGTCCATCCACTTTGATGGAGACAGACTGAAAGGACACTCAACCCCTATTTCTGCACTTTTTCGACATAATAGCTAAAGCAATTCAATTGACAAAGACCTCAAAATTAACTTTCACTGCCAGTCAAATTAGAGGGGCTGCTTTTACCCAAGAAGGGCCGGGGTCTTGACGGGGTCTCACTTAGTTCATGCTTACATAATCATGTGTTACATTTTGTTTTATAGGAAGAGAAAATGATTGGATTTTGATATCAAAATATAAAGAAATTGTGCTTTTGTATTTTATTTGGTATACTTTGTTATATAGGGGTACAATATGACTGAGGATGTCATCTTAAAGGGTTTTCATTTGACCTCAAATATTATATGAACTGGAATTTTCTGGAAGACACCCTTTTACACATTAGGACGTTTATGTTGTAACAAATTTTAAACAAGTCATTTTCACACATGATGTGGTTTTTTTTTTGTGAAATGTGACCATTGATCGCAGGGAACTTTGCAGAAGTATACACGTCGATTTGGCCGCTCCAGGCACCGGTTACTTACCGTTTCCGCGAGTAGACGAGCAACAAAACCCAAACTGCGGCTAGCTTGACCTGGCCGGTGTGTCGGTTTAACTGGAGTTGAATTAACTGGTGATACTGAGGCAGATGTGCGTAGGCGTGGCTTTTTAGGACCCCTTATTGCCGAACCAGGAAATAAAGATTCTGACTACTTCTATGACATTCATTTGTTGGTGACTTTTAAAACACTGCAATAGAAACACTTTACTGGAACAATAATGTTGGTGTCTGCTCCTCACTACGGAACTATTATTCGCTGTCATGGTGACATTAACAACTGCTGATCGCTACCGTTGTTTCCATTCTGAGTCCTTCCCGAGTATACATCGAAGACTCCTTTGGATATCATATATTGTAATCATACAATAGCTTTACAATACATCTTAGAAATACTAACTATTTTAAATCATTTCAACACACCAAAATTAAATCGTTTATAAAAGCAACCACACGCTCGCACTAGTGTAAAACAACATTAATGGAGTACGCTCGAGTTTGGATCAACAGGTGACATTATCCTGGGGAGCTGGAGACTGGTTGCGATGATGGCGCTCAAAGTTAGGCCCCCAGCTGCTCGATTATGGGAAAAATCATAATCGACGGATTTTTTGGCGTCAAATTTGAAATCACCCATTCTATTCAACCGATTATTTTTTTAAAACTTCAGAACATGCTGCATTTATTGGACATTTGTCAAAAACACTTTGCACGCAAGAAGTTTTTCTCAGTTACAACTTTCCTTTCCCGCGTAAACATTTGTAATCTTCTCGTTACCTGTTCAGGACGAAAACAACGTGACAGGGAGAAGGACTTGAGCTTGGTTGTCGCCGACCACCAGCCGCAAGTATAAATTAGTTAGTGCGCTCCCGTGGACTTCACATTTGTCGCGCCGACAGGTCGGGGACCGGGCGAGCTATAGCCTGGAGCCGCATGAAGGCCTCTGGGTACACCACCGGCCACGGCCTGGGGGCGAACCGTCGGCAGAAAAGCACAGTCGGGACTGATAGTCGGCTCCCCATCTCCTCGGGGAGTCGGGTGCAAAAAAGTGCCTCCGAGACACGACCAAACCGGGGACGCCTAAGTGGAGGCGTACGCTTTTGCTGCGCGTGGTGCTGAGGCGTAATACGTCCCCCATAACAGCAGCGGCGGCTAATCTGTGTTGGTGCGGTATGCTGCCATGGCGCCCGAAAGGTACGGCAGGACTGTAGGTTACAACGTTGCACAAACGGGCAAATTGGGGAAAAGAAAAAAAAAACTTTCCCACGGACTTTTTATTAGGTTTTAAGATCGTTTGGGCCCCCAAAAATCGTCAATCAGTGAAGATCAAATTTCGATTAATTGGGGAGCGAGCCTTAGCTCAAAGCTCGTAGTTTTCTGGGGAAAAAAAACCTTTCACAAAAAACATCTCCAGTCTCCATAGATGAACATTTATGTATTCTCTCGGAAACAGTAGGCTTCCTCCTGCATTTTCCAAGATTCACGTGGGTAAGGAGGGAGTTATTAAAGCCGGAGGCACTATAGGAAATGGCAATGGTATGCCGAACCTAAACCACTGCAAAATGTCAATAAAACGTCCAAAATCCTCATGTTATTGGTCTTGTGTCATAGTTGTTTTTAATGTGTGTAATTACATCCAGCCTATAAATGAATCAGTCTGAGTTTACGCTCCAAGCAGTGTGGAGAACTGT